CAAACAAATTTCTTATGAAAACAAAGCCTGCATCAAAATAACTTTTCAAAAATACAGAGGAATTATTTATTTTAATTCTTGGATTAAACCATATATGTTCATGAAGAATTTGAGTATTACTTGTTTTTTGACTACCACTGCAGTCAATGATTTTTACCCAATTAAGTAAAACCTCTTTCCAAAACTTGTTGCTTATTTTATTACACATCTTAACTATAAAATCTAAACCTCTTACCCAAAGAGATTCAATTTTCATTCCTAATTCTGATTCAAAAAGTTTTAACCATTTCGTGTCTGAGTAGATTAGTCTTCGAATCCATGTTGATTTTAATGCACATAAGAAATCCATATAATCAATCATTTTCAACCCCCCATTTTTATAGTCTTGGATTATAACACTCTTCTTAACCTTATGTACTTTACTTCCCCATAAAAAGTAATAAAGGTCTTTCTCAAATTCATCAATTAATTCCTTATTGGGGTTTGGAATAGTCAATATCAAATGGTTCATCTTTGGTATAATCAGGGATTTAATCACTGTTAGTCTACCAATGGGAGTCAGTTTTCTTAATTGCCATTGTTTTATCAATCGCTTTATTTCATTTAATTTTGGGGGGTAATTCAGTTCAATCATTTCATCTAAATTAATTGAAAACTTTACACCAAGAAGATCAAAAGTAGAATTATTCCAGTCTAACTTCCATCTCGAGTGATGAAAGACTTCTTTAGAGAATTTTTTACTACCGATCCATTTTTGTTTTTGTAAAATTAATTTTCAGTCCAGATACAATTGCAAAATAACCAAGCTCTCTTAATATACCATCCATAGATTGTGGTGATCCATCAGATATAATTGAAGTATCATCGGCATATTGTGAAAGTTTATATTCCTCCCCATCAATTACAATTCCTTTTATGTCTTTATTATTTCGAATGAGAATCCCAAGAACTTCAGCACATAGTAGAAAGAGATATGGTGAAATTGGGTCCCCCTGTCTACATCCCCTTTGTGGGAACAAGTAATCAGAGGAAATTCCATTCTGTATGACACATGATTTGATTCCATTATAAAATGTTTGTATCCAATTTTTAATGGATTCCCCAAAATTAAAAAAATCTAATGTTTGGTATATAAACTTCCATGATATAGTATCAAAAGCTTTTTCAAAGTCAATTAACATTAATAAGCCTGGAATCTGTTTTTGTTCTGTGTAATTCATTAAATCATAAACTAGTCTAATATTTTCACCTATGAATCTTCCCTTCAAAAAGCCAGTTTGGTCCTTATTTATTAATTTATTCAACACAGTTTTTAATCGTTCAGCAATACAGCCTGAGGCTATTTTATAAATCACATTCAATAAACTGATTGGGCGCCAGTTCTTTAAGAATTGTTTTTGTTTTCCTGGTTTTGGTAGGCAAGTTATTAAACCTAATTTATTTGGTTCAGTAAAGTGTGATAATTCATACGAGTTGTTTATTGCTCTTGTAATGAAAGCACCTAAATCCTGCCAAAAAAATTTGAAAAATTCACAGGTGAACCCGTCTGGTCCAGGGCTTTTCTCATTTTTCATAATTTTCAAATAATTCAAAACCAGTATAAAGATTTCTTTTTCTAGTTGCAATTCTTTTTCAGTTATTTTCTTTTTCTTAAAAGTTGAATAAGAAATTGATTTTCCTCTTATTTCCATCAATAATGTATCTAGAAATAATTGATCACTTAGCATAAATTGAATTTTATCATTTTCAATAGAGTCAATGTTATTAAAATTGTAGATAGGACAGGCGTATTGTAATTTAATATTTTTAATTTTTTCTTTTATCAAATTTACATATTCTTTATCTGCTAATAATGAGTTATTTAATTTCCAAAACCCTTTTCCTTTCAAAAATTCATTTGTTTTAACACCCATTACAACTGGACAGTGATCTGAACGATAACTATTTTCAAATTTTACATAAGGGGCCAAATTTAGTAACGATTCTGATATTAGGAAATAATCAAGTCTTGCCTGTTTTATTGGATTTTTCTTTCTCCAAGTGAATCTTTTTAAATTTGGATTGTTTTCACGAAAAATATCTTTTAAATTTAGTATCTCTATCATCTTTAATACTTCCATTCTTGATTTAGGGTTATTTAGGTTTTTATAGTTCATTGAATCCAAATCCTTATCTAAAATTAAATTAAAATCACCACCTATAATCATCAAGTAATATTCTTGTATCATATTTAAAATCTTTGTATAGAAGGCTGGTGTATCCTGATTTGGTCCATATATATTCACTAACAAAAAAGGAAGATTGTCTATTACTACATCTAGAATAAGATAATTGCCATTGTCATCTTTATATTCATTAATCAATGTCAAGTCACAGTTATTATTGATAAGTGTAGCAACTCCCCGTGAGTTTGATTTGTATGAACTAAAAAAAGCCTTATATCCCCATAATGCTTTTATCATGCTTTCATCTTTTGTGACAAAGTGTGTGTCTTGAAGGAAATAAACATTTAATTTTTTTTCTTTTAAAATTTTAAAGACATCCCTCCTTTTATTCATGTCCCCTAAACCTTGGCAATTTAATGTAAGTATTTTTAGGAAATTTTCACATGGATAGTCATCCATTCCACAGCAAATGCATAAAAAAGTTTACTGTTCCCCAACAGCATGAAAAAAAGAGTTGATAAAAAAAGTAAAAATCTATATACACTACAGAAAAGTAGTTTTTAAGCTCAGACACACCTGCTGTCATTTTGAAAATGTGCAAAACTAGACCCAAAAAACCTAACTTTAAGTTTATATTTGAAATGAAAATGTTAAAAATATAGAAAATTAATTTCAGTTGAGAGGAACTCTATATACTCAATTTCTTTCCTATTCAGTTCCTTTTTTCTAATTACAATTTGTTGTAGTTACCATGTTTGTTTTTTTTTTCTATTAAAGAAATATATCTGAAATGTAATTACAACAAAAATTTATCCATATCAAAATGTCGCACTTTGCACTGTATTAAAATTGAAATTATGCACACAGACTCCTCTCTGAGTTGAGTGATAGAATAGAAATTGATCAAAAACTTACAAGTTTACACGATCCATGCTGTACGATATCTATACCGGAAATTGAGTCTTTGAAAAAACACAAAAATAGTGACGTATACACTTGCAAATTCCGGAAAGTATCAAAACCTAAACATAATTTATAATTTATCCAGATATCATGTGCAGCATGAATATAGTCATATCGAAAACCACTAAACCACTAGAATAAATATTTTAGTTTATGCAGAATTACCGTAATAGTCAAATTCGATGAAAGTGCACAAATACTAACTAATTGAAAAAGTTATTTTCTGTAAGTTTGTATTTTTAGCTAGTGACTTTTCATAATTTACATTTTGAAGCGTCAGACGGGAACCGGCATATTTCTCGCCGCACTCATCCCAACCTCTGTGATGTGCGTGAAGCGTCTTGAACCGATCTTACTACCACACCACCGCGAAACGACCACTAGTGCGTTATTTATGTCATTATCAGCCAGTGTCTTTAGTAGCATTCTCCCAGCTCCGTGCTCGCCGTCATCTTCCGATCCCTCGTGTATCGTGCCGTCGTTACTGGTGAACCGAAACGCATAAATGTTATGACTTGCACTGGTAGTGTTATCTGTCCGCATAACTTCCACTAGCGATCGTTTCACCTGTTTATAGGAATCTACTGGCGTTGCGTGGGCAGCAAACCGGTTTCCATTGTCTTCTGTTGTCTTCCCCGTACTGATCGCGATCTTTACCTCTTCTCCACTGATGATCTCATCGGCCATTGGTCTGCTACCAATTTTTTCCCTGTACACCGTCTTGCTCTGCGTGAAAATGAGCTTCTGACCTTTTAGCACCGTTTCTATGTTACGGTCCGCATATTTCTTTTGGACATCATATAAATGCTTCCTTTTTTCACGGACTTCTTCAGGTTGGTGTTGAGACACTCTTATTGGGGACTTCTTATCCTTGAGAATTTTAATGTGTCTCATCACAATGTCCTTATGTGATTTATTTACAAACTGGACACAGACTGGCCGAGGATATTTCCTATGTTTGTCGTATTCCCCCATTCGGAACACTTCATATATCTGTAGGCTATCAACAGTCTCTGCCGGTATCTCCATCTCTACTGCAAACACGTTACTAATGATCTTCACAAGGTTTTCAGGATTTTTTATTTCGGGCGCCTTTTCGTCTACTCCACTCACAATGATATTGTCTTCAATTGCTCTAGATCTTAGCTCTAGAATCTGTTCACTTTGAGTCTTTACACAATACTCCAGTCGAACTATGTAATCTTTCATTCGGCTAAGTTCTCTTTCCATCTTCTTCTGTTTTTCCTGCAGTTCAGTGGTTATATATATCGTATCGTTCGCCTGTTCTTGTACGTTTTCTAATCTCTCCTGAATGCCATGTTTTCCTCTAATGTCCTTGGTAACTTCGTCTAGATGGCGACCTTGTCCATCAATCCTTAGTAGAAGGTTTGCAAGAGTATTTTGTATATTAGTTATACCGTGCATGACATCTCTCATCTGAAAGTTTTCACATTCCTTTGAAATTTCTTCATCACTAGTACTGGTGTTAATGGTGTTAGTGTCCATATCATCGAGCGCTCTCTTTTTAGACTGGGTCAATTGACTAGCCATATTTCACAATGTAACAGTGGAACGTATGAGTATCGCTCACTAGTGTTCACAAACAGATATGTTTACAAATTTTGTTTACCTTCTCGTTCCTCGCTTCTATTGCATTTTTTTTGGTTAAAACACACTTCAACACACTTTAAAACATCTTTGAATATCAGCAATGCATTTTTCAAGATCTGAAATTAATTAAATTCGAGGTTTTTGGACTACACTTTGCTCTCGATAAAAACTTACGTCTACATGTCGAGCATGCGCACTCCTCCTTTCTGAGTAGGCTGAGTAGTTTTCATAGATACCATACCCTATGGAAAATTAAAAAAAGCATGTGCACAAATATCATTGTGATTAATAATTTCAACAAAAAAGAAGTAGCATCATCTTTTGTCAGAGTCCAATAAATATACCATGTACATACGCCAGTACATGTTTACATGTAAGAATATCAGTTTACATTTTAAAATAAATTCCTTTACATTTCCAAATTCAAATACAACACAAATTATTTTTTTCATTAATGAACAGTAAAATGTAAAAAAAAACATTTGAAAATATTAATCATATTAATATTGATTACTAGATACATTTATCATATAATCATTGTATATGTAAACACAATTTTTAAAGTTTTACATCTTTGTAAGGTGCAGTCATGCCACTCAGAATATCACTAATCTCCCCTGCTTCTCTTCTGTAGTAAGTGACTGTCCTTTGTTTATTAGCCTCTTCTAAAAGCACTTAAGATCCTTTGGAAAAGAATTGCTGCCTGATTAACATTATCCAAAGTACCGTCATGGAATCCACTGAACTCTAATCTCTGCTTTTTAACAGCTTTAAATATCTGATTTTCCATTATTCCTAAAATAATAATTATAATATGCTGTACATGTACATGAACTTATCATTCATCAATTTAGAATTCTTTAGTTTATACTACATTATTATTAAGGTACTAAATGGTTATTTTGATTTTATAAATTACTTTACATGGAATATCAAGTTTATATAATGCAGTAATTTCATTAAAAATCTAAAATAGTTGCATGATATTCTCCCACCTTTGGAGTCTTATTAGTTGGTGGTTTTCAATGATGTTTCCTTGCTGTCTGTAATAAATAGTGTAACCTTTTCCTTCAAAACCATTATGCAGCACATCGCATACATTCTGTGAAAATAAAATGGAGTTTAATTCATCTAAAAAACAATAATACTAATTTATGAAATACAGTAAAACAAAGTTATAACAAAGTCACTGGGAGCTATGAAATTACTTTGCTATATCAATTACTCGTTATATCTATATAAGGAATTTGTTAAATCTATATAGCTGGGGATCTAAAATAACTTCGCTATATCCATGAATTTGCTATATCTGTGTTCGCAGTAAACGAGTTTTGCAGTATGTGAAATATCTTTTCTACTAGTGTATTTTTCATCATTTGCAATATGTCTCCAGTTTTAACTTTAGTACAATTTATTGAATTTAAAAAGAATCTACACTACTTGAGGCTTCTTACAATGACTTCCATATCAGTACAATATTAATCATGGCTTTGCTGTTCTGGGGAAGATTCTCCCCTATATATTGCAATGTGAAACTTTGATCCCCATTGAGGCCCCATCCTACCCAAAGGGGGTTTAACTTTACACTACATCACCAGAGAATGCTTCCCTATCATCATCTTCATGTTCTTGAGAAGATTTTAAAAGATTGTTACTTAAACCATTGCAAGTTTTCTATCTATATTTTAAGATCCATGTGCACCTTGGTTTTGAATCCCAATGAGAAAAGCCCTTTATTTTTCATTCAAAAGTCATGACCAAGGTCAAGTTTTTGAAAAGTTTTTCATTTTCAGTTGGGTGTCAAATCTGTAATCTGTTATAAATCTGTTTGCCTGTGACAAAATTTGTGCATCTCAGGCAGTTGAGCAACAGTTTTTTTCAAACACTGCCTTGACCATACCATCATACTTATTCATGCCTCATCGCACATAGGGGAGTGCACAGTAACTTAAACAGGTCTAAATGACAAGATTATCTGATGACACATCAGCTTAAATTTGCATGTAAATTGGCTCTCAGTTTTCTTTACGTAGTTTTAGACAGCAGCACAAGGTGCACAATTATCATTTAACCCCTCAATCAAATATCAAAAGTAAGACATACAAACGTCACAAGGTTTGTACGGTACGTATTGGAAGCAACTACAGTGGTACCTCATTTATCCGGACGCTTTGGTTCCTAGTCAAATTTCCAAATATGTGAAGTGTCAGACTACCTGAATTACCAGTTAGATAAGACAAAATAATGTTAAAAATTTTCGTTCCGATGAAAAATCATCCGAATATTGAAGCATTCGGATATATTGCATCCAGATATCTGAAGGTTCACTGTATTTATCATCTAAAACTACAATTTTAAATGCGAGCATCGAGCAGTGTCTTTGGAAACTAATCTTTCAATTTTGCCTGTATAAAGTAAAAAAGAAACTCTGTTGTTTTTGGTGATGAAGTAAATAAAGTATGCAGTAAATCGACGAAAACCGTGTGTCGCTTCTGATTTGTATTAACAAATAGTAGACTGTCATGCTTGGGGACTCATTCAGTTAATTGTAGAATGCTAGAGTAGAGACAAAAACATTGTGCTGAAAATTACCTTTCATTAACGGTAGTGTACCCGAGCTCTTAAGAAAATGGAAATTCGTCTTTTGCTTAAAAGTATTCAACAGCTGCAATACTACAAGTATCTATGATTTTTCCTTTTTATTAAAGACTCATAATACATTGTCATATAGGACTTGTAAAATACTTTTGACTGCATATAAAAAGCTTTACCAAGCTATTTTGAATAGATTAATAGCGAGTGCAGCAAGGGTCGCAAAGCGATGCACGAAACTGCGAGCTCTGATGAAAACGTCTGGGCAAAGAGAAAATTCACACTACTGCACATTCATTCCTAAGAATTTTTTACCGCAGTAATTTAGACCCACAATGCATCGATTCATACACAAACTCTAAAGCAACATTCTCACTAGAATAACAACAAAAGTTAAACGAATAATAAACTTGTCTTGATTTAATGATTTTATCTGTTTATTGCAGAAAGATATTCATAAACTGATTAAATCAGCCTTGTTCGGGCATCGGTTTGGTAAAGCAACATACAAACGACGTCATATGACGTCAGAATCTAATACGCACCGAATGTCACGTGCGGATTTACATGTCCAATCTAAATGAAAATTGATAAGTATATGCGCTCGCCCTAACGGTCGCACCGTCAACATATTAAAGCTATATAGCTATTTCAAGCTACAAAATTAATTATCTTAATCAAGAAATTGTTCTGCAGTGTTCTGGACCTGATCTTACCTGGTCAAATGTAACTTTCCAAATGTACATTATCTTCCCTCTCCAAGTCGAGTAAGTTAACAAAATCGGACTGCCACCCCTCTCTGAGAGTTTACTCTTGGACTCTGGTGGATTACCGTAGAATTTAAACTTCTGAGATAGATCACAACGGTGTCAGTAGGCGAGTACCGTTTCGGGATAACGTCAACAAGGTCAATATACTAATCAACACGACACATGGCTATACTTTTGCCCGAAAACTATGCCTAATCTGTTCTTGTAGAATCCTTTCAACCAATTTATGTCACTTCACACATATTTTTGCAATAAACATCACAGGATGCATTAAAATAACTTTGCAGCGTACAGCTAACCATGGAGGCTGCCATTTATTTTTACTAGCGCCACCTACGTAAAATTGCCAAGGGAGATAACTCATTTGAAGAATCTTGACAAATTCTCGATTTTAAACACCTTGTATCTTTTCAACACTTCGTTTGCAGAAAAATATTAAAGTAAATTTTTATTAAGCCTCCCATGTTCACTTGAATTATGTATTAAGTTTTTGTACTTCTTCTAGGTTTTAAAGATATTTTTTTCTGAAATAGGCATTATTTGCACACTATCTATACAAAATTACACCTCAAGTACTTTATCCCTGGCTATATGAAATAAAGAATTATAACAAAATCAACTGTTTATATTCAATTTAGACCCAAATGAATATATTAAACCCAATTTTATTGAATTTGAAGATGGTCGATGAATCACCTTTTCTGTACTGTCTGCATGATTTTTACACGGAGCCGTACTTGAATAAATTTACGAAAAGTAAACTAGGCAAAGAAATTTTTTTCAGTATAAATCATATAAGTGAGTTCGAAGTATTAAATATGTTGAATACACTTGATGTAAACAAGTCAGCAGGTATAGATTTGTTGGGCCTCGTCTTCTAAAGCTTTTGGCAAATGTTATATGCAAATCTATTACACATCGATTCTTATAAATACTAGCATCACTAATGGAGTATTTCCATTCCGTTTAAAACAAGCAAAAGTCACTCCTATTTCAAAAATGGCGACCATGCAGATCCAGGGAACTACAGACCAATATCCATTCTTCCAACATTATCAAAATTAATTGAAAAACACATAGCCAATCAGATACGTAACTTCTAGCTTTGATCTCAGTCTTATTTAAATCACAATCTGGATTTCGAGAATTTCACTCATGTCAAACGGCTCTAACAAAACTTACAGATAATTGGCTACAAGCTAAGGACCAAGGAAATTTAGTAGGCATAACTTTCATCGATTTTAGCAAGGCATTTGATTTGGTTAATCATGATATCCTTATAAATAAACTTCAATCATATCACTTTGACCAAATGGCTGTTAAATGGCTTCAATCTTATTTAACGTCAAGGTCTCAGTGTGTAAAAATAGGTACATACTCCTCAGATTTTTTGCCCGTCACAGCAGGAGTGCCCCAAGGATCTATCTTAGGTCCCCTATTATTTTTATTGTATATAAATGATCTCCCCTTACATGTAAATAGAACAGATATTGATATGTTTGCTGATGATGCAACCTTACATACATATCATAAAAATATAGAAGGTATCTAGAATGCCCTAAACTTTGATTTGTGTGAGATAGAAAATTGGTGTTCCAAAAATCAAATGGTGTTAAATACCAACAAGACAAAATGTATGCTCATGGGAACTCAACAAAGAAAATCAAGAATAAATTCTACTGAACTAAATTTATATGCTTCAAACAAATTAATTGAAAATGTTGAATCTGAAAAGCTTTTGGGAGTACATGTTGACCATTCATTGCGCTATAATTATCATATTGACTCAGTTTGTAAATCTTTGACTTATAAATTGTATACTTTACGCAGAATTAAAAAATTTCTTCCCTTACACACGAGAAAACTATTTTATAATGCATACATTCTGCCTTCTTTGAATTATTGTCTTACTATTTGGGGTAATGCGCCAGATGCTGGCATAGATAGAGTTTTTAAATTGCAAAAAAGGGCAGTCCGGATTATTTTAGATGCGGCTTATGATGCCTCTTCACTACCATTATTTGAAAAACTTGGATGGCTGACCATATATGAGTTAATTGATTTTCATAAATATATATTACTGTACAAAACACTTCATGGTATGGCACCAACTTATTTAAGAGATTCCTTTGAATTTATTTCTTCTAATAGTTATGTCCTTAGATCTGAAACAAACTATGACCTTCATCTACCGAAATATCGAACAAATCAATTTAAGAATTCTTTTCATTATTCCGGTGTTCATTTATGGAACAAATTACATTTGCATATCCGTTTTTCACCAACTCTACAAACTTTTCGTGAAAATGTAGAAAAATTCATTATAACATGTCGCAAGTTAAAGTTATATAATTCCATGTTCTTGAATCAATCTGTATATGTCCTTGTATTTTCACGTCATTTTGTATTATATGTGATATTTAGAGAACAGTTAACGAGTAATAACTTAATTTATCGTACATCCACATTAGGGCGGGACGAGTTGCGCAGCAACGAGTCTCGGCCAATGTGGATGTACGATAAATTAAGTTATTACGAGTAACTGTTCTATAAATAACTTGTATCATAGATAACTCCGCCTACATTCCTTATATAGTGTTAGTGCAGCGGAAGCAAGTTAATATCTAGAAAAGTCTAGAATTTTCTTGATAAACTCCGCCCACCGTCGCAAAGTATTGTGGTATAGCGCAACTCGTGTGCAGACGAACATTTCCAGTATGAAAAACCAAATGAACAGATTGACAGACAGACGGAGGGACAGCTAGACTGAGGGACGAACAGACAGAAAAATTGACAGGAAAGGGGAAAACAAATGTAAGACTCCTCTTGTTTCACTAGATAGGGACTAAGAAAAAAAGCTGGTGTTTTCAACATAGTGTAATTAAGGTACTCTCATCCTCAGGTTCTGAAAATCTAGCATTGACTAAATGAAAAAGCACACAAAGTTGCCTATGCATTCTTATATGAACGTGTTTTATCCACAATCATTTTCCTAGTTAATTAACTTTATCTGTAAAGTTATTCATTTTGTATAGGGAAAATGACTAAATCACAATTTTTTTTTAGGAAATGGTAATAAAAACAATTACTATTAACGAGGCCGAGTCTAATTCGAGTGCGCATCACTTTGCGCAGCTTTTTAACTTCATGCAGTCATTTGTGTGACAATACACCTTTGAAAATAATTTTGATCTTGATACAAAATTAACATTATCTGTAACTTCTAGTCGTCTGAACATGTGATTTTACGACAATAATTGGAAAAAGAACGTTCAAATGTCGCTAACAACGTACGTCACCATTTTCGGAATTTGTAAGTAACGCATGACGTTTAAGAATGACGCATGACTCGCTTGTATGTTAAAGACGTCCATGGATATTATACTAAAAACTCATGACAAAACTTCCCAAGAAACATACTAACAATCGAAAAATTGCTAGTTTTTACCGAAAAAATTGTATGCACCGATAATTCATCTGCGAAGATATGTATTTATACCGCAATATTGCAATTTCAGAAGTACTGAGCTTTGAAAAAAATAAACTTAGTAATTACTACCTAGACCAACCTAGATGGTGAATTTTTTTTGAAATTTCACAATTTGGTGACTTTTTACAATAACTTTCAACTACTTGAATGAAAAAGAAATCCATAGGGCAGAAATGCAAAAGATATGGGGAAATTGTGATAATTTGGTGATTTTCCAACAAATCCTCATAGGGTCCAATAGTAAAATTTGACAACTTTTGAGATGCCCCCCTAAGAAATCGGGGTGGTAAACATTCAATTTTTTAATCCTAAATCAATAAATATAACAGTAAAAATTAATTATCAAAAAGTTATTAAAATCCCTAGGGCAGAAATAATTAGACTCGGCCTCGTTAATTTCCAATTCAAATTCAATTAACTCATTTTAAAAATAAAAATCATAGGTATCCGGGCTTTTGAAGGAATTGTACATTTTTTATACGTATAATGCACTTTCATTATTTGCATTTACTTTAATAATTTTAGAATGCATAGTGTATTAAAACTTTCCTGTCTTTGCAAAACACCTTAAATCACTTTTTATCTCGTGTCATGTTAAATGAGGATGAGCCTCAATTCTTTTTTTTCATATGTAATTTTAAAATACTGTTATGGGGTAAAAATTTCGACTTTTTATAAGACGTTTCTGAAAATTTCAAATAAGCTTGAAACACATTTAGAGGCAAAATAAAAAAAAAAATTGTTACCAGAAAAGATTTAATTTTCAAACTTAATCTTCAGACTTTTTGAATCAAATTATAAATTAGAGAGAGTTATCCTTCCTGGCCAAGGATCGGAGTATCTTAAGGAAGTTTTAAAGTTTGTGTAAATTATTGTTGTATAAAGCACAGGGTATATTTAATGAAGTGCGCTTAAAAGAATAAATATCATTTCTACCCTGGAGACATCCACATTTCTATGGCCTTGTGTACCTTTTCATGACGTAATGTACATGTATCCTGGACTGTATGTTTAGACCAGTCAGCTGGAAATTGTAAACAAATGACTAGATTTGTCTCCAAAAAAATAAGTACAAACTTTAAGGCTAATATAAAATCAGCGATTCAATATTCTCCATAATTATGTGGGCTTTGCCCTGAGCACATCTGTCCTGACTATGTTGTCTTTGTCCTGGGTACATCTGTCCTGATTATATGGTCTTTGTCCTGGGTACATCTGTACTGATTATGTGGTCTTTGTCCTGGGTACATTTGTCCTGATTATGTGGTCTTTGTCCTGGGTACATCTGTCCTGATTATGTGGTCTTTGTACTGGGTACATCTGTCCTGATTATGTGGTATTTGTCCTGGGTACATCTGTCCTGATTATATGGTCTTTGTCCTGGGTACATCTGTACTGATTATGTGGTCTATGTCCTGGGTACATCTGTCCTGATTATATGGTCTTTGTCCTGGGTACATCTGTCCTGATTATATGGTCTTTGTCCTGGGTACATCTGTCCTAATTATGTGGTCTTTGTCCTGGGTACATCTGTCCTAATTATGTGGGCTTTGTCCTGGGTACATCTGTCCTGATTATGTGGTCTTTGTCCTGGGTACATTTGTCCTGATTATGTGGTCTTTGTCCTGGGTACATCTGTCCTGACTATGTTGTCTTTGTCCCGGGTACATCTGTCCTAATTATGTGGGCTTTGCCCTTGGTACATCTGTCCTGATTATGTGCCTCGAGGATCTGTCCTGTATGTATTATCACTAGCGGGCTGTGTCCCTTTGATCTGACACAGGTTGTAGCCATGTACAAGATGAGATGCATT